GGTAATATTCCCGAGTCCCGAAGCAAGTCCCGAGATCCTGAAGATCCCGAGAAGTGCGGTTTCCGAGCCGAAGATCTGCCCGCGAGAAGTTCGATTTTTGTAGAGATCTTCCAGATCTGCTGTGGATTACTACTTTTGCAAGTCGTAGTGTTGTCCGATCATCTTCTGATCAAGTGAGTGTATACTACCTTTCATAAACGCAATAATAATACAAGTATGGTTTGAGTGTATTAAGTATATTGTTGTTTATACGTGTGAATGCATTGTTACTTTCTCCTAACGTAAAATTATGAAGTATTTTATACGAGATACGTGTTATGTGTATATTTTGTTGTTATGCGTGTGAATGTATATTCACTTTCTTCTATCTTACAGATCTGATTATTTCTATATGAAATACGTGTTATGTGTGTGTGCCTCATATGTTATATGGAAAATGTATTGATCAAGCATGCTATACAGGTTTTGAAAATATGTATAAAAATGTATGTTTTTATCTACTAATATGTTGGGTAGAACATGGGTAGATAGTTGGTGTGTAATAAACAGATGAGAGGTCTCGTTGTTGTTTTGATCCAGTCATCTAGCGGAATTTAGATGACGACCACAGACTTTTCTAGACAGTCCAGTGGAACGCTAGCAGGTTCATAACCTGTAGGTGTTAATGAACTTGGGTGTTCATTCGCTGTATTCCATCCCCCTCATGGTTGCCTTATTTGACTTATATTGCTGAGGAACCCCCACAGCATGTGTTGTCACCCCGATGAAAATATTCTTAGATTAGGTCCCTTGTGTTAGTTATTTTAGGGACATAAAGTGAGAATAACGGGAATGGGTAACTGGGTTATTGTTGGTTGATAATAATTAATTTAATTATTTATTGTGGGTTGAAAATCCTATATGCTCACCAGGCTCCGAAGCCTGACCCACTCAGTTTTATTTGTATTATAGGAAGTGGCGCAAGGGCGTAAGATGGATGAACCATCAAGTTGTTTTGTTTACAAGTCTGTATATGTATATATTTGTTGAAAGACTTGTAATGTTATCGTTTATGCTTATTGGTCTATATCGGAACATGACACCCCGAGTTTTGATTATATAATGAAAAATACATTTCTGTTACGAAATGCTTTGGTAAACATTGTTTTATCATGTTTTGTTTTGGGAACAAATTCCGAAACTCTTTCAAATCAAAAGGATTTACTCTGAATTTATTTTAAAAGCATAAATGAAAATTGGTCTTTTCTGGCCGAGATTTTGGGGATGTCACATTGCATAAATTTAATGTCATACAAAAAAATAGAATTGTTGGGATTAAAACCCTAATTAAGATTTGATGAACAAGATGCGGAAAATAAGAACAAACACAAATATGAAGATTATGTCGAATGATCACTCGATGTATTGAATTGTGAGGAACAAATTACACTTAAGAAAATAAGAATCTAACTCTACAAGAAACCTCACAACGTGGCGGCTACATTTTGCCTCACTCTTAACCCTAATTGTGAATAATACATGACTATTTATAGGGAAAAGACAACTCTTGGGATTTTAACCTAGAATTCGTCACAGGGGCCCATTGCCATCATCCATGGAGTGCTTTGAAACCCTACAATCTCCCCCTCAAAGTATGGAATGGATGACAATGCTTTAACTTCCAAAACAAGCATCTAGCAAATAAAAAGATCTACAACAAGGAATATATGAAGCAATCGATGAATCTTGATTCTTCAATAGTCTTCAAACACGGGCTCTAGGATATATAAATCAGGCACTGAAGTAATGTCTTTAAACTTCATTTTCGAATGTAATCCCAAAGAATCTTCATGAAAACCAAACCCGCCATAAAAACCCATTTCAGAACAAAGAAACCGAATCACTTCTTGTCTTTGAAGAGCTCCCCCTCCAAGTCACAATGATCTTCAAATAAGCTAATGATATAAGCCATCAAAAAATATCATGTAACAACCCAAACTTTATGATTCGTAACGTCACTTGATCGAGAAAATACAAGAAGTCGGAGATATAACAAGTCCTTATCAGAGCTCGATAAAGAACTTCCGTTGTAAAGGATACTTCTCTGTAAAAGCTTTAGCAGAGCTCGATGAAGAACTTCCGCTGTAAAAGCTACCTTCATAATTCTACCATAAGCTTTATCAAAAATCTTCAACTTTGAAAAGTCACAAATCCAATTTTGAATGGCCATACCAAATTCTCCCCCGATTTATAATCAAAAACATGATTATAAAGCCTTCAAATGGTCATGAGAATGATCTTGAATGGATAAAAATTTACTAAGCTCCCCCGCGACAAAAACATATACACAATGAAGTATAAAATCCGAAAAAATCGTGAAAATTTGACGTTATCACGAAAAACGAATTTCCGAACCGCCAAGACTTGATCGAATCTTTATTTTTCTGTTCACGAAAAAATATGAGCGTTAAAGAATTCAAAACTGTTCACCGGCCCTCAAAGTAGTAAACTTTTCTGAATATTGGGCCGAAACTGTCACTTGCTGAAAGATAGGGGCTAAAATGGTAATTTTGAATCAATATACCCCTTTATTTGTAACAATTTCTGGGATTGATCCAAAAATATCAAACTGTGAAAACAACAGGGACCAAAAGTGCCATTTTGCTGGAGTTATAGGGACCAAAAATGAAACTTTTCTATCTTCTTACCAATATAGCATCTGTTTGAAAGAACGGCAAATTAAAACACGTGAACTGCGAATCCAATCAACACAATAACTCCGATCAAAGCACAAATACCAGTTGGTCGTTCGTCCTGTGTTCACCCCGAATCTTAGTCAATTTTGACTTTACATACTTTGACCAACAGTTCGACCATCCCGATTAAGTTTCAATTTCAAATTCATTCATTCCGATCATTACACTTCTGATTGGGAATCCATTTGTTTTGATTATATGAAGCCCCGAAAGTAAAACCCATTTAGCGAGTGTGAACCTGTCTTCAAATAAATTCCGATCAACAACCCACTATTCTTCGTTCATATAAGTCGATTTTGACTTTCAGGTCTGACTTGACAATTGTGAATAAGCACAAAACCAGCCTAAGTTCGTTCACATGCCTCTACCAATTACAATTTCAATTACGAACGTAGAAAGCCTGTTTGCCCCAATTTTGACATTTTGCTTGACCCACAAGAACAACGACTTAATCATTTCAGTTAAAATCCAATTCCGATATCAATCGTTCTAAACATACATCGCTGATTGTAGTCATAATGTTTTTTTTTACTATTTCGTATTGACCACCAAAAACACCAATTTTAATCGATTCCAGATCAATAACCATATTCTTCATCAGTTCTTCAAAGAACGAATATGAACTCCAAACCAAGAATCCGATAATCCCAGCGAAGCGATTCAGTCTTCACATCCTATTGGTTCGTCTGTTTATCACCAGACTTCGAGATTAGCATTCAATCAAACACCAAATCGATTCACATAAAGCAATTTCCATATTGAATTCATTAGGTCAAACTTGATACAATCACCATCGTTATTAGTTCTTGATGTTCGTCAAAGCATACCCAATCAAAGATTCACAAATATTGTTCTCAAACAAATCGATTGAAACAGATTGGTCATTCAACCACAAGATCGTACAAGAAGTAACAAGATTGATCGAATATTGATCACAAAATGAATCGAAAACATGAAACACGCAATAACACGAACTCAATTATCAAGAAGATTAAATCGATTGAAAGATTTTGCGATCAAAACTATGGAAAACATGAACTTAACTTTTTGAATCGATTAAAACACTAGAACACTTAATCGAAACGCATTATTTGAATCATGAATTTTGTTTTGAGAATCGAGTACATGCGATATTGACACTGATATAATTTCTAAAGGATGAGCATGGACGAAAAACTTGGGCTTATTTAGTGAAACTTATGAACAAAAAGAACCAGATCTATAGGCCAAAATGAATGAACTTGATCCACGAAGCAAACAATTGATTTTGGACTAAGCAATGATCAGATCCAACTATGAGAATGAATAAACAATACGAGATGGATTAAAAAGAAATACCCAGATGAACAGAAAAATAGCATAAATTTCCATGAACAGTAGGTTAAATTGAATTCCGGTTCCAAGAGGCCAAAACATCAATAATCTTCAATAACTTGTGCAGAAAATCATCAAACCAAGAACCGATACTTCAAAAATCAATAGATCTTCAAAGACCTGCTCTGATACCACTTGTTGGGATTAAAACCCTAATTAAGATTTGATGAACAAGATGCGGGAAATAAGAACAAACACAAATATGAAGATTATGTCGAATGATCACTCGATTTATTGAATTGTGAGGAACAAATTACACTTAAGAAAATAAGAATCTAACTCTACAAGAAACCTCACAACGTGGCGGCTACATTTTGCCTCACTCTTAACCCTAATTGTGAATAATACATGACTATTTATAGGGAAAAGACAAGTCTTGGGCTTTTAACCTAGAATTATTCACAGGGTCCCATTGCCATCATCCATGGAGTGCTTTGAAACCCTACAAGAATCCATTGTATAGGCAAATTTCTAGCTTTTAATGCAGTTCCACTTGGTTGATATTCAATTCCATCAACTACCCCTAGCCATAGCAAGCACAGAATCACAGTTGCCAATGTTACAACTCCAAAAGCCGCTCAATAAAACCTCTGGAATTAGTCCCTTTATATCAGCCAAGGGTATAAAAAGAAAATTACTAAAGGATATAGAAATTAGAACCTGAAATATAAGAGAGTAAACTGAGGTTTCTCAGCCAAACTATGGAAGCAATCCCTTCTCAGATCTTTAAATGCATCCTAATAGAATACAATGAAGTTACTATTCTAAGATTGCATCATTTACCTTAATCTATGACATTATTAATGTGAAAGAAAAACATTTTTGTTATAAAGAAAAGTCAAAAAGATTTTTTTGTTGATAAATAACAGTCTATAGGAATAAAAGAGCATACTACACAGAAGGGTGTTGGTTCCTTTTATTGAACACCATGGGATTCACCACTTGTGCCCCAGTAGTGCAACCTGTTTTCACATTGGGAGTGAAACCAGGAAAAAAATATGTAATCTTCTTATTTGTGACTGTTTTAGGGTTCTAAATCACAGATCTTTAGTTTACAGTCAGAATTAGCAAGAATGTTTTTGTGTTTTAAATCTCAATGAAACACATTTGCTGCACACATGACAAGCAATCAAACACAAAAGTATGCGTATCTGATGCATATATTTGCACATTCATACAAGTATTTGTAGGTATCAGTCACAATACCACAAGAACATATATCTTATCAAAAGTATGCCCAATTGACGACATATCAACCATACAAAATTTATCAATTCTAAGGAATTTGAACGTAAATCAGATGAGAAGAAAAAACCTGGAAGAGATTGTTGAGAGAGTGTAAGAGGCAAAATTGTAAATTCTGTTTTTCATGAGGCTGTGCAATTGAGCTTTTATCTTCATATCAAGTACAAAAAAAAGTTAAAAAGATGTTATTTAGTGTGTTAAAGAAACTTGCATGTAGTAGTGTATTACCTTCCTCTTTGCAAATAGTTTCTGTAATTCAACACTTGTCATAACTGAAAGATCTTTGTCCTCTCCAACCTAGAGCCAGAAGAAAATATATATATATATATATATAAATATACAAATATAATTTTATCGTGTTTCAAAACACAATTAAATGAATTTATGTAATAATAATAATAATAATAATAATAATAATAATAATAATAATAATAATAATAATAATAATAATAATAATAATAATAATAATAATAATAAGAAAGATCAACCACCTCATATAAGTTTGCTAACCGAAGAAGAATTTTTCCATCTTCCAGCTCCTGAGTTAAGAAAATAAAGTTTTTTCTCAAGCTTTGTAGGCTATTTTCAAAGATTCGAATGAAGAAGGAGGGCATTTACATCTTTTTACATGGTTTACCTGGAGTGTTAACAATGCTACGTTATCAGGGAGACTGTAGGAGGAATCCATTCCTGAAAATGTGGACACCTGGAAATTTGTCCTTGTTTTTTCGTCCTGTAAAATATAATAAAATTAATTGATAAGTAACATTTTTTATGGATTTTTAAAGAAACATTTAACAAAAAAAAATATTCAATCACCTGCTCAGTGAACGCCAAAAGAAGTGGAGAGTATATTTCTTGACCATAGGATCGGCGCCACTTGGCACCCTCTCCAATTTGACTTATAGAAAATGCTTGCAGTTAATCCTCTACAATCGTTACCAACGCAAACTGTTTCATTAAGTGCCTCTGCAACACCTTTTCCATCATCATAAAGCAATCTCCTAAAAAAGAGATTATTCGTGTTTATATATATTATGGCTGATTTAATTTTTTTGATTGTTGATTTTGATGAAAATGTGAATGGAAAGAAAAGACATACCTATGAAGCACTAACTCCAATTGCCCATCAATAATGTTGGATCCACCTACGGATCTATCTACTAAAAGTGAGAGCTCACTAGTTTCGTCTTTTAGGTAAATTCCAAGATTGACCTTTAGAAATAACACAAGTTTGTGAAACGTTTCTTTAAAAATTTTCCATTAATGGAGCATTGAATATTAATAGCAAAGGGCATGTTGATTCAAAATGACAGTTATCTTGATAATGGATATTGAAAAAAGGAAACATACAGGATAATAATTTCCAGCAATAGGTTGATTCACTTCAAGATCCCAATCCTCTCTATAGTCTCGAATCTGCCACAAAAAAAATATATAATTTTGATCACATTTTCTTTAAATACCTACTTAGATGTTTAATGTGAGTAATACCCTTTGAAGAAAATCTCTCCCATTAGAATCTATGTAAAATGTTTTATTGCTCTTCATGGTGGTTGTGATCTGAGTTACAATTTCTTTCCTAACTCCATCATCAACAGGTATGGGGCCCACCTGAAAAAGTTGAGATTATCAGTAATGAACAACAATTAGACAAGTAAAGAAAAATGAACTTACTGTAAATTCCACTTCAGCATGATCCTTATTCTTGAACACTCTAGTGATCTGGACAGAAGGGTAAAATGGTCATTTCAGACGGTTCAATTAGTCCAACAAGGAAAAAAATGAGTTCATATAGCACTACTTTATCCATTACCTGGTAAATCCATGGATTTATTTTCTGATGTACTTCATCATATATTGGCCCATTCAAAACCTTTATGGGAGTCTGTAATTTCAATGAAGAATATTAAAATTAAAATCTAGCTATAAAGTATCAACTATAAGACACATAGATATATCAGAAGAAATTATATAATATATACCTGCTCCTATGTATCAATAGAATATGTACCATTTGGACGGAAAATATATGCTCCAGGTGCCTAAATTAAACAAGTTAGGAGCTCAATTGTTAATATAAAAAACTTGTTGTAACGACCGAAAAATACAAAAAATTTAAATTTTTCAAAAACAACCCGATTTCATTAAATTGTTTACAAAAAGGTTTCCAATACAAATCGTTTAGAGTATTCCCAGAATCACATTGCTTCAAAATCATGAGGAGCGGTACGATCATGCCTTCGCCTTGCTACAGTTTTCCTGAAGAACCTGAAAAACATTAAACCACAACTGTAAGTCCGAAAGCTTAGTGAGATACCCCCAAAATACCAACCACATATACGCCCTTCCAGGCAACGACCTTCCGCTCCAAAACATATTGCCTTCCGGCCCATAACATATAAAACATACATATCATAACAGAACACTGAACAGCCATGCATATCGGGTCTACTGTGTGACTGGTCCGCCGTATCGGCCTTTAGTCCACCGGATCCATCCTCCGAGTCTAGTCATGTCCTTCGAGTCTACAGTGTGGTTGGTCCGCCCGCACTGTGCCTTCAACTCACCTGGTCCACTCTCTGAGTCTACAGTATGACTGGTCCGCCCGCATCGATCCTTCAGTCGGTCTGGTCCACTCTCCGAGCCTCGGCACATCTGGTCCGCCCGCGTGGGGCCTACAACATATCCGGACCGCTCGCTGGGCCTTCGGAACAACCGGTCCGCCCTGGGTATCTTGGCCTACAGCACAAAGCAGGATCGCCTCAACCCATCTCCAGTCCAAACAACCATGTACACATAAACATTTAATCATATAACAGTTCACATTCAAACAAGTCGATCTAACAGATCACATAGCATAACATACTCTAAGCAGGATACCGACCTAACAAGTCATTAGCATAGCATTTCCCTATCTCTCAAGATACTGATCTCAATCAGGTCTCTAACATATACCGTCCTAACTCTGAGGATGCAAGCATATCACAACAACAAAATAATAACAACTACCCGGATCTCAATCCGATAAGGGCCGGCCTTGGTGCCTTAGACCCTATTGATATAGTGAGGATAACTCACCTCGAAACTGCCGGCTGAAAGGATAAGATCCCGCTGCTCCAACTCTGAAACGAACTCTTCCACTGAACACCAAAACATTCAATTCAATAAATACCCTTAGTTACCAAAATACCCCTGGAAGACAACTGGTCAACCTTGGACAAGGTCAAAGTCAACCCCTGACTGTCCCTACTCGCCGAGTCAACCCGATGACTCGCCGAGTCCCTATGCTCAGAACTTCCCTCCATCAGCGACCCAACTCGCCGAGTCACCCCAAGACTCGTCGAGTCCAACAACTCTGAGTCCACTCGCACCCAACTCACCGAGTCATCCCTTGACTCACCGATTCTCGACTCAACCAAGAAATATTGGGACTCTTCGACAAGACTCGCCGAGTCCAAGAACAGACTCGCCGAGTCTAAGGCTATCTTCAACCTACTCGCCGAGTTGTTCTTCCAACTCACCGAGTTCCAGGCCATCTTCAAGCAACTCGTCGAGTCCACCCATGTGACTCGCCGAGTATCACCGATCTGAATCAATTCAGAAGCACTCAAGAAAGAGATCTAGGCCTTATTCACCTTAGAACTAAGGTTTGGGACATGATAGCTCCATTAACAACACAAGAACAGGGGCTTTAATGCTCTTAAGATCTTCTCCACTCCAGATCTGAGGTAGCAACCTCAGATCCATCCTTCAAACTCAAGATGTCACACAACTAAGCTTCCCACACAACCCCAAAATGAGAATCTAGGAGAACACAGCCCAAGAACGAAAGTATTACCTCCAAAGAATGCCCCAACAACAATGAAACTCGAATCCAAGCAAAGCCCTTTGATCCAAGCCTCTTCTCCTTCAAGATTTCTTCAACAAGCACCTCTCCAAGCTCCAATTTGCTCAACAATGGGGTTCCTCCACGAAATTAGGGTTTCTGGGACTCAAGGGGGATCAAGGAGGCTGTGGAGGAACATAATGATCTTTATATAGGGCTCATTCCCCGGATTTAGGGTTTTCTTCGCCCAGCACCTACTCGTCGAGTCCATCTTTGGACTCGCCGAGTAGGTCGCTTGACACACGACCACAGTCGCGACTCTATTCACCGAGTCCATCCATGGACTCGCCGAGTCGCCCTTCAAGATTTACACTTTTAGCCCTTCAACTCTATTCTTGCTATCCCGGGATGTTACAATTCTCCCCCACTTAAATTAGGCTTCGTCCTCGAAGCTTATGAAAACTCAACTCCAAAATACTCCCACGACGTGCCACTTGGCTTTAACTGGACCAGGTCCCTCAAGGCACAACCATAGAAACCAGAAGCTCACTTTCTCCCTTCATGCGGTGTCCCAACCACCTACTCAACCCGGGCACCAACTGTACCCTCTGATAGCCGCACTCAACAACCGAGAATTACCCATGATGCCTTACTGCTCCAATTCTCATCATTCACTTGACTCATATGGTTAGAAAACCATGAACCATTGGATCCCCGATCTGAATCCCACTCTATCCATTCCATGACGACAGAAAGACCCATTCTTCAATCCCGGAGCAACTCCCCCGAGTTCTCCTCTTGCAATCACACACACATGCTGATCTAGCTCTAGCACCCTCAGGTTTGGAAAACCCGATACATTGATGATATCCTCAAACATCCCTCCAGGATGAACCACTAATACATACCCAAAACCCTAATCAAAATCTCACTGAGAGTCCAAGACTCTCTCCCTGCATCCCTTCCGAACCCCTCTCCCTGGCTCTACGCCTGCGGAATTCCCTCCGCGCCCTGAGCAGACATCTCAAGTCGAATGAGCTTTTATTCCACTGCCGCAAACACGCTACTCAAAAACCATCGACGGACCACTCCAATCATAACTCTACACTGCCGCTTTCACTTCCGTGAATTCGCACTCCCTTTCGGAATTTCATTCCTCCCTCTTTCCTTACCAAGGAAACCACTCGTCCGCCTTGTCACCATGACAGGTACTATGGTGCTCACCCCACGCTACACTACCTCTTTAAAGCGTACCCGACATCCGTACATCACCACTACTCCGACTCTCATCGCAGGGACTCTCAAGCCCATGCACTACCTTCACTGCTCAAGATCGCTACCCGGGGCCAGACCTCCCAATGTAATCACACTGCAACATACGCAACCCATAACGTCGAACCGATCCAACAGTACTCGCAGAGTCTTCAGCATGACTGGACCGCCTCCCCAGGCCTTCAGCCAATCTAGACCACTCTCAGAACCTTCAACCAATCTGACTGGACCGTCCTCCGAGCCTTCGGCCTGACTGGTTCGCCTACCGGCCTTCAGTCTATCCGGACCGCTCAACAATCATTCATCATTCCGAGCTATCTCTTCGGGAAATCCTCCCATGCATGTCGTTCTAGCTCTCTAGGGGTTCCGAACTCTATCTCCATCATACATACTCAATCCCAGCCTGCTCCCAGGCCTTCCACAATCAAATGCCCAAGGTCTGTATTCCGCCCCGCATGCCTGTTACTCACCCATACGAGCCTGCTCTCGGCTGATAGAAATACCGCTGAATTCCCCAAGCAACTAAGCAACCTCTCAAGCCTAACGACCATCCGGAGAATTTCCAATTCTCCCCCACTTAAGACACTGACAATTAATCACCGATCGCCATCACCGATCTCCTAAAGCAACCTTGCAGAAGACCAACACTTACACGCAAAATGTTTCTCCCCGGCGCTAACAACTTCCATAAAAATCATGTTTCCACACTGAGCAACCCGCTCGAAAGGAACCCAATCTTCAAATATCCACCCCTCAGACTTCAGAGGCTACCTGACATTCAAACCAACGCCGCATCCGCTACTAATCCTCACAGAGATAATCCACAATAGCTCGAAGTACTAATCCATAACCATATCGATCCTTCAGGGAACAAAGGATACCAAAACGAAATCTCGAACACAACTCGTCAAACCCTCAAGGAACAACGGATACCACATGAAAACCCGAAACGCAATTCCATAACCATCCAACGAGACTAGCAGATAACGTTACTCCACAATAATCATAAATAATCAAAACAACATAAAGAAACATACCCGCAGCAGCAAGCTGAAAAGCACGACCCTAAGCCCTTGGGGGCTCCGCTCCACCCTGACCTCCATCTATGATCCTCAACGTAGTCGGTGTTGGAGCCTGCACCGGTCCTGCAGCAAGCTGTGGACAGTTGACCCTCAAATGTCCAACCTTATGACAATGATAACGTATCCTCAAATCCCGAACCGGCACTGACTGCCGACAATCCCTCGCATAGTGTCCCTCCTTTCCGCACTTGCGGCATGCTATACTGGACCGATAAACTCCAGCATGACCCCTTCCACACTTTCCATAGACGTGGCTACCCTGATCTCCCATCCTAGAATCAACGGTCTTAGACCGTTTCGTCGCCGGCTGCGACTGAACCGGAGCTTGCCTCAGCTCACGCATCTGCAACTCAATCTCTAACTCACGCCGCCTGGCGGCCTCCTGTAACTCCAGCAAGGTCCCGCATCTCTGCGCAGACACAAACTGTCTGATGTCTCTCTTTAGCATACTCAGATATCGGGACATCTGAGCCTGCTCCGAAGCGAACTCAGGGCAAAACATCGCCCTCTCAGTAAACATCCTGGTGATTTCCGTCACCGACTCCGAATCCTGTTTCAGCTCCAAGAACTCCTGACCCAACCTCTCCCTCTCGACCTGCGGAACATATCGAGTGCTGAACATCTCTTTGAACTGATCCCATGAAATCGCAATCATCTGCGCATCCGAGTACGACCCCGTGGTCAATCTCCACCAATCCTTTGCCCCGAGCCTTAACAGGTTCAGAGCGCACCTCACCCTCTGATCAGCAAGGCATGAACACGTGAAGAAACATCCCTCCACATCTGATAACCATCTCATAGCAACGATCGGATCCTGAACTCCACCAAAAGTGGGAGGCTTCATATTATCGAAGTCCTGATACTGAAAACCTCTACTAGCTCCTCCCCCTGCCACTGCTACAGCTGCTGTAGCCGCCGCGACAGCCGTCTCCGTGAGAGCCGCATAGCGCTCATCAAAATACTCCACCATGGCGGTCTTGATCGACCCAAACAACTCCGGCAGCTCAGCCCGAAACAATGCAGCAACCTCATCATGCAGGATCTCACGAATCCTCGCATCCAACTCGTGCGTACTCATCTGACTGACAACCTCGGGCTGTACAGACCCACCCGGAACTCCCTCTCCTGCTCCTAATCCTGACCCGGATCCACTCCCAGCGTGCCCTGAAATCTCCATACTGAAAATAAAACACCAAAATCTCAGACATTTCCCACTATCCCAGGAACCAGCTCTCATCCCAACCCTAGAGGTCATGGTTTCCCTGATACGCATATGGGTCCGTGCTTTCAGTAGTACGGGCCCATACTACCTTCCACACCTACCCATATTTGTATGAAGTACTTCCACAACACCCTAGCGACATACATAACAACGCTCTATCCTCACAACTAGAGGAACACTAGAAATCTCTCACAAGAAAATCCTAGGCTAGCAGGCATCATAAATCAGGCAACACATCGAGAAATCCTGAAGATCGCTAGCCTAACTCTAACATTCTGTTCTATCAAAGCTCAATAAAACAAATATCATGTATGGTATTTTGGGGTTACTTACTGGCTCCGACTGATCGTACCTCCGCGTCCTCCTTTACTTATTTTGAAAACCATTTTAAATTCTCTTTTGAAAACCCTCCTCAATTTGAGACTGGAGTCACACAAGTGTTCCTCCAATTCACTCAAACCAAGGCTCTGATACCAACTTGTAACGACCGAAAAATACAACCAATTTAAATTTTTCAAAAACAACCCGATTTCATTAAATTGTTTACTAAAAGGTTTCCAATACAAATCGTTTAGAGTATTCCCAGAATCACATTGCTTCAAAATCATGAGGAGCGGTACGATCACGCCTTTGCCTTGCTACAGTTTCCTGAAGAACCTGAAAAACATTAAAACACAACTGTAAGCCCGAAAGCTTAGTGAGATACCCCCAAAATACCAACCACATATACGCCCTTCCAGGCAACGACCTTCCGCTCCAAAACATATTGCCTTCCGGCCCATAACATATAAAACATACATATCATAACAGAACATTGAACAGCCATGCATATCGGGTCTACTGTGTGACTGGTCCGCCGTATCGGCCTTTAGTCCACCGGATCCATCCTCCGAGTCTAGTCCGCACTGGGCCTTCAACTCACCTGGTCCACTCTCTGAGTCTACAGTATGACTGGTCCGCCCGCATCGAGCCTTCAGTCGGTCTGGTCCACTTTCCGAGCCTCGGCACATCTGGTCCGCCCACGTGGGGCCTACAACATATCCGGACCGCTCGCTGGGCCTTCGGAACAACCGGTCTGCCCTGAGTATCTTGGCCTACAGCACAAAGCAGGACCGCCTCAACCCATCTCCAGTCCAAACAACCATGTACACATAAACATTTAATCATATAACAGTTCACATTCAAACAAGCTGATCTAACAGATCCTATAGCATAACATACTCTAAGCAGGATACCGACCTAACAAGTCATTAGCATAGCATCAACCTATCTCTCAGGATACTGATCTCAATTAGGTCTCTAACATATACCGTCCTAACTCTCAGGATGCAAGCATATCACAACAACAAAATAATAACAACTACCCGGATCTCAATCCGATAAGGGCCGGCCTTGGTGCCTTAGACCCTGTTGATATAGTGAGGATAACTCACCTCGAAACTATCGGCTGAAAGGATAAGATCCCACTGCTCCAACTCTGAACTGAACTCTTCCACTGAACACCAAAACATTCAATTTAATAAATACCCTTAGTTACCAAAATACCCCTGGAAGACAACTGGTCAACCTTGGACAAGGTCAAAGTCAACCCCTGACTGTCCCTACTCGCCGAGTCAACCCGATGACTCGCCGAGTCCCTATGCTCAGAACTTCCCTCCATCAGCGACCCAACTCGCCGAGTCACCCCAAGACTCGTCGAGTCCAACAACTCTGAGTCCACTCGCACCCAACTCACCGAGTCATCCCTTGACTCACCGATTCTCAACTCAACCAGGAAATATTGGGACTCTTCGACAAGACTCGCCGAGTCTAAGGCTATCTTCAACCTACTCGCCGAGTTGTTCTTCCAACTCGCCGAGTTCCAGGCCATCTTCAAGCAACTCGTCGAGTCCACCCATGTGACTCGCCGAGTATCACCGATCTGAATCAATTCAGAAGCACTCCAGACCATGCAATTGATCCAAAACATAGATCCAACCTCCTACAATCCATCCATCACGTAAAGTGGCAAACTTTACGTGAATCTAAAGAGATCTAGGCCTTATTCACCTTAGAACTAAGGTTTGGGACATGATAGCTCCATTAACAACACAAGAACAGGGGCTTTAATGCTCTTAAGATCTTCTCCACTCCAGATCTGAGGTAGCAACCTCAGATCCATCCTTCAAACTCAAGATGTCACACAACTAAGCTTCCCACACAACCCCAAAATGAGAATCTAGGAGAACACAGCCCAAGAACGAAAGTATTACCTCCAAAGAAGGCCCCAACAGCAATGAAACTCGAATCCAAGCAAAGCCCTTTGATCCAAGCCTCTTCTCCTTCAAGATTTTTTCAACAAGCACCTCTCCAAGCTCCAATTTGCTCAACAATGGGGTTCCTCCACGAAATTAGGGTTTCTGGGACTCAAGGGGGATCAAGGAGGCTGTGGAGGAACATAATGATCTTTATATAGGGCTCATTCCCCGGATTTAGGGTTTTCTTCGCCCAGCACCTACTCGCCGAGTCCATCTTTGGACTCGCTGAGTAGGTCGCTTGACACATGACCACAGTCGCGACTCTAATCGCCGAGTCCATCCATGGACTCGCCGAGTCGCCCTTCAAGATTTACACTTTTAGCCCTTCAACTCTATTCTTGCAATCCCGGGATGTTACACTTGTACCAATAACATTATTTACAAAATAGAAAAAGAAAAATAATAAATAAGATAAGGAAAATAAAGTTACCTGCACTTCTATAGTTCCTTCAAATCCAGCATAAAAGCTGTATGATTGCTTCACAGAGGCAGTGATCTTTCATAAACCAAAATAACACAGGTTAGTGCACAGTAAAAGATTAAATAACAATACTAATAATAATACATAACTTAACTTACTATATTTTATATAACGTCAAAAAATAGGTTCATTTTTGCTAATTTGGGTGATTAACTATTTTATTTTCCAATTAGCTTATTAGCAAAAATAAGATAGTTGGTTGCTATATTATGCAAAAAAAAAAATGAAAGGTAAATATACTTACAGAGCTTCGACTGTTAACATACTGAGAAACCTTTCCTTCACTTCCAGAATAGATTAACTTCAAATTTCCTGTTCCTACTTCTATCCCATCTTTTCCTGTTTTAGTATGATTGTAAAATGCTTCATTTACAGAATTCCATGCTGCAAAAAAAAATTATATCACTAGATAAATTCTGTTCAAAATTCGAAAATCAATGTATATTATGTAAAATATTGTTAATTTTATTTTTACCTAGCTTTTTTGTGCTTGAAACGACGTATGTGGTAAATCCCAGAGGTGGAACAGATGCTGTAAATTCAAGTTAATACTTGGAAATTGAGCTTGGTGATTTGCCTGTATATGCAGTGGTGTAGTAGTTTCTAAGGGCAGTAGCATCATTTACTATGGGGAGAAGTTGATGCCTACTTCTTTTCCATTGGAGTCATGGACAACAATATTCTTGCTCACAACCTGTTAGATATTCACATATAAGACGCATAATATATTATTATTGTTATTATTCTCCCAAAAAAAAGTGATTAAGATGAAACCAAAAGTTCAAAACTTAAAATGATACTCACTGGAAGTCTTATAACATCATATCTCTTCCACCCTCGGGAATTGTAGACAACAACCTCCTACAATATAAAAATCAATATTCCATATTTCCATTTCACATTTATGTAGATATACAGAATATAATAGTTTTTGTTGACTTTCATGAAGAAGATAAAAATATAAAGCATCTCATTACCAATTTTTTGTCAGATGATAGATCCGTTTCAGTTGGAGAGCAATAGCTTATGAAAATGATCTTGTAGTTGGCTTTATCTTTAGGGACACCCCACTCTCTGTAAGGTAAATGTCTTCCATCATTAAGTTGGATTCGAGGTGAAGTAATAGGAGGTCCACCAGGTGATCCACAAACCCTAGGAGGTGGCGGTTTGATTCGTGTATAAATCCATCCTAGAAAACCACCAACCACAACAATTGCTACCTTTGCAATCATTGCTACATAGAAGAAGAAGAAGAAGAAGAAGAAGAAGAAGAAGAAGAAAACACTGTAAGAACATGTAAGTATGGGATTGAGCTATTCCAAGAAATTTAATTTGGCTATGTTGAATATATTTGATTTTCTGATAGAATTCTAAGTTTTACAGAGGGATGTGGGTTCTTTAACTACAAACATGTTTTTGAACTTTTGATTCCTCTTTCCTATAATTTTTAGAAACTCGTATCAACAACTAATTGCAGATCGAGTTTACATAAAGGATTAAAATACCTGGAAAAAAGTACAGAGCATGAGAAGGAAACAACCAAGAATGCTTGCTTTCCAACGCCATCATCTTCTTGCATTGTCACATAATGCTATTAGGGTTTCATCTGCAATTTATTCTTGAACAACTTCTACTTCCTTAAATTTCTTCAAATCAAAGTTGTTAGGTGTGGGCTATGTGGCAAGAAGAGGCGGTGAGGGGCGGAGACGGTGGAGATGGGTGAGGGGCGGAGACGAACGAGGGGATATGTGAGAGAACTGATGGAAACAAGGTAGAAGAGAAGCTCATGAGTAGTTGTAGTAGGTGGAGTAATGTACAGGGGAAGCGGATTAGGGACACAGTCGCTGGTGCTGATGAGTCTCAATGGTCGGCGATTAGAGGTGAGCCTGCGGTTGCCAACAAGGTGAGGTGAGAGAGAGCAAGGTAAGGAGACACTAATCAAGTCGTCGATTACAAAGTGATCGTGTGGAAGGAGTGGTGCGTAGAATCTGCATATGAAGGCACTGAAGAAGGTCGATGGATGAGGAAGATGATGAAAAAGATGCAATGTTGGTGGAGGGTCGACAATGGAAGAGGGTCGACGACCAGGAAAGAGCACAAAGTGGTGGTCGGAGTGTGAGGGGAGTAGTTAGCGGTCGATGTGGGGAGCCAGGGATGGGAAAGAAGGATCGCCGATTAGGGTAAAGAGGGAAGCGAAAGTGGGTTTTTCTAATTTTGTGGTTTTTCTTTTTCCCTCTTGTAACTAAAGAGCATGTTTCATTAAAAATTATAAAGCGACATGTTTAGATGACGTGCACATTTAATAATAAGTGCCCTCCGTGTTTTTTTTCTCTAATACTAGTTTTACGGCACGCCAAAATACGCGTCTTAAATTCTTAAAATTTCTAGAGAGTTGACATTATTTTTAGGTCACATGCTTTTGCGTATTATAAATCACAGCTTGTCATAAATTGCGCGTCGTTAAAGGTCTGTTTTCTAGTAGTGCTTTTTAATTTGTAAAATAGCAGTATTACGACTCTATACTTGTTAGGAGAACGAATCATGGCAATTGTGGACATTCTACACGGTGAAAAGAAAGGACAGTCAACGCAACAAATGCGGACCATCACCTATCACGTATAGGACAGTCCGCACAACGTGCCAAAATTTATTTATGAGGTTTTCCTTACATAAATTTCTAGTTAATATAACATATTCTAGTGAGTCGTTATAACCATACTAATCTGACGGAGTGCCTGTTTTGGCGTTTCTCAGGCGCCCTCAGTTTGGAAAAGATATTTGTCACCCTAGACTGGCCTGTCTAGCTGTAGCGAACAACGAAGGTGTGGGGTGTCAACCTCGTATAGATCTATACACAAATTCCCACTCTCCGTCCAGGAGACTCTGGCTATAACTCCCTATAGGACTTAGACGTACACTAATATTTTTATATTTAGGTACTTTTGAGATTTGTCTGACTACAATATTAACAAACTTCTGAGCAATCGTTAGATATCCATTATTTGTTAGATAAATAATGAAATTCATACTCATTGAATATAAATATCGTTCTCGTTCCATATCGTTGATTGTGCTCGTTAACTGGGTGTTCGTGTTCGTTCCTTTTCGTTTATTGAAAAAACAAGTCATTTTAGTCAAGAGAAAGTGTCAAGTTATAATTTGTATAAATTCATAACTGCCAGTTATGACACACATTTTATGTTTTATGACATATAGAACACTACTTATGTTGTTGGAGGTTTTACGACAACGGTTTATGGCATGCACATATTTCTATCATAAAGTCTCTATTTGTGTAATTTCTTAACGCAAACTTTTATGTTGAATATTTATAAAATACTCCCTGATAGTTTGCAAAATAGTCACAAAGTTTCTATTTTCAAAAAAAATCACTAGAAATGGTGTCCATTTATTAAAGTCCCTTTATATAACTTCTATTTCTAGACATGAAAACATAGATAAAGGGGTTGAGTTGGACACACCCAATAGTTGGGAGGCTCTTTTGTACAAATTATCCTATGTTCTTTATGAAATTGAGAATTCCTACGTTCATGAGTATATGCAGTCATTTAAGAATTTAGGCACGATTTGACTTGTACTCTCCCCCCAAAACATTAAAACATTGAAAAAGGTGGGGTATGAAGCTCACCTTGAGTTAGTTGAGGAGTTATCTGGAGTTATGGAGTGAAGATCTCAAGCTTAAACTCTTGGCTGAGATGAGGAACTTCCCTGGGAGGAAGGTTATCTTTAAGGTGTTCATCACATATTATTATGAATAAAATAATATGGATTCATCTTGGAATATTATAAAATATTAGATGAGTTGAGGAATTTACCTTACAACTCCAGGGAGAAATTTAGAATTTTGTTTTCAGTAAGATCTTGTTCTTGCTCTTGAAATGAATCCTTGAGAGAAAATGAGAGGAAAGTGAGAGGGAAATGTGAAAAATCCAAATTTCCTTTTACTGTCGTGCTTAAGAGTGGGAAAAGGGAGGGAATCTGTGGTGCATGGGGATTTGATGGTCCATGCATGGATATTTGGTGGGTAAAACACTGAATACTGTGATTTTCATGGGAAATGAGGATTCCATCAACTCACAAAGTCAACCTCTTTGTCCTTATCTTGATTTAGGATAAGGTTTTCCTAAATCCCAAACATTTATTTTTATGAAAAAATATGTTTAAATTGATTAATCTTAGCATTAAATAGGGGTTTTAGGGGTCTTAGTTAAGAAAAACACGAGTTTGGTGGGATATCTAACGTCAAAATATCTTAAAATGCTAAAAAGGTGCGAAATGATCTAAAATCCGAAACTTAGAGGTGAATTCCGAAGCTGTAGTTCAATTTCCGGAGCATTTCTCAAAATTTCGGAGTCAACAAGAGGGTTCTGAAGTGTAATTCCTCTTGGCTCCTAAGAAGGTATTCCGGACTAAGGGGGTTCTGGACCAAGAGGTTCATGAGCAAGACGTTCAGGAGCAAGAGGTTCAGGAGCAAGATGTCCACGAGCAAGACGTTCAGGAGCGAGACGTTCAGGAGCAAGGTGTTCAAGAGCAAGAGGTTCAAGAGCAAGAGGTTCAGGAGCAAGATGTACAGGAGCAAGAGTTTCAGGAGCAAGATGTTCAGGAGCAAGAGGGTTCCTTTTGGGGTTTCCTCTTTCGGTTTTGAGATGTTTTCGATTGAGGAAGGTACTTGGGGAGATTTGAGAGAGATTTGATATACGTGAAGAGATTTGGGAGAGATTGCACATACTTGGAGAGATTTGGGAGAGATTTGAGATACGCGAAGAGATTTGGGAGATATTTCACATACTTGGAGAGATTTGGGAAAGATTTCACATACTTGGAGAGATTTGGGAGAGATTTCACATACTTTGAGAGATTTGGGAGAGATTCAATATACTTGGAGAGATTTCGCATACTTGGAGAGATTTGGGAGAGATTCAATATACTTGGAGAGATCTGGGAGAGATTTCACACACTTGGAGAGATTTGGGAGAGACTTCACATACTTGGAGAGATTTCACATACTAACACTTCATGGCTCCTTAGGAACTCATATTGTACACTTAGGTGTGCTAACACAAGTCTCACAATAGTCCTTGCTTACTTGAGGATGGAATTTCCTTAGTCAAAAGGCTAGTTGTAACAGGTGAAACCCTGAGAGAAATGGATAAGAACTTTGAAGTCAGGGATGATGGAGTCTATTATTTCATGAACCAGATCTGGACACCAAAATTTGGTGGTTACAATCTTGATACTCCATCCACCCAGGTTCAGATAAGATGTATCTAGACCTTAAGAAATTATACCGGTGGCTTAACATGAAGGTCGAAATCACTACCTTTGTGGGCAAGTGCCTTACTTGTGCCAAAGTAGGTAGAGTACCAGAAACCTTCAGGTTTATTACAACAACCTCAAACCTTTAATTGGAAGTGGGAGTGGATTATAATGGATTTCATAACCAAGTTACCTAAGACATCGGGTGGTTATGATACTATTTGGGTAATCGTCGACAAATTAACCAAATTTGCACACTTCTTACCAATCAAAGAGACCGACAAGATGGAGAACCTAACAAGAACTTACCTCAAGGAGATTGTTAGACTGCATGGTGTGCCAATATCTATTATTTCGGACTGAGATGGTAGATTCACCTCTCGTTTTTATAGTCTTTACAAAACTCTCTAAGAACTAGGCTGGACATAAGTACAACCTACCATCCACAAACAGACGGAAAAAGTGAGAGGAAGATTCAAACATTATAAGATATGGTACGAGCTTGCATGATAGAGAAAGGCATGGGATATTCATTTACCCCTTGTTGAATTTTCTTATAACAACAGTTATCACACTAGCATAAAGGTTGCTCCATTCGAAGCCATCTATGGCCACAAATGCATATCCCTTCTGTGTTGGGTTGAAGTGGATGACACGCAGCTAGCTAGGGGTCAAACTCCTGATAGTGCTCTCACTGGTCCAAAAATTATTCAAGAAACTACCGAGAGGATCGTACAAATTCGGGAGCGACTTAAAGCTTCCAGAGATAGATAGAAAAGCTACACTGACAAAAGAAGAAAACCCTTGGAATTCCAGGTTGGTGACCGCGTCTTGTTAAAGGTATCATCATGGAAGGGCATGATACACTTTGGAAAGCGTGACAAACTGAATCCAAGGTACATAGGACCATTCGAGATTCTTGCCATAATCGGTCCTGTAGCTTACAAACTTCGAC